AAAGAAAAACCAAGGGAAACTCATTGCTAATTACTAAAGATGGACAACTATCTACTTCTTTTTGTTGTTCTTTTTGCACAAGGATAACATACTTTATGTACGGAGATCACAAAGCACTAATATATACAAATTACGAACTACACAACATAACTTATGTACGGAAATCACAAAACACTAACATATATAGAATCACAAAATACACATGAGTACATAAGTTTGTTTATAACATAAAGGCACAAATATGTACAACAGTTCCTAATGTCACAAAAGTATAAACAAGGCTACCACCCCAACTAAAAGGCATACATTGTCCGCAATGCATAAGGACATAGAGTAGAGTTTAAGGGGCTCCCTGAGGCGCACTAAGCGGTATGGGAGTCGGCAGCTGGTTGAGTGATGGTGAGGTCACCCTCTGATGCTGAAGCTAGGGCCGATGAGAGCTCGGCCTGAGGAGTGACCTCCACTGATGGAGGAGGGATCTCTAGCTGGTCCATAACTGGAGCTGGGGCCTGTGAGCTGCTAGCCTCGCCCACTGATGGTTGAGTGGCCGAAGGATCTACAGGGGTGGCCAAATCTACTAGCGAATGTTGGATCGCTACCTGAAGTTTTGCTTGCTCCACTTCATCAACTGTAGGAGCAGCAATCTTCTTACCCTTCTTCTGAGGGCCATCATCATCTGAAGACCATGAACTCTCCTCATCTATGCCCTCATCTGCCACCTCCTCCTCGGACTCAGTAGATCGTCCGGAAACCTCCGCATAAGGAATATCAATACGTACCATAGGAGTTGGAGGCTGGAGAGTCCTAGCTGTCTGAGGCGCAATGTCTGCCATTAGGGTAGTGAAATCAAGACCCAAGTCTAGTGCTGCTGTGCGTGCTCCCTGCTCACCATCCTTGGGCAGGAGGGATGATAGATCAAACTCCAAAGTCTGCATCTTGTGGAGCTCGGTCTTCATAGAAGCAACCTCCTCCCTGAGCGTAGGCAAACCACTAACCTCACAACGCTTTACCTTCTCAACCATCAACTGAAGCTGTTGTAAGCGATCGCATAACCACTATGCGGACCACAAACCTGTCGCAAACTTGCAGCTTTGGAAATGATACAAATATTTGATGGGTTACGCGATCGCATAACCACTATGTGGACCGCATAACCATTGAAAACCTGATTCCATAGAAAACCAAAACCTAACATGTGATCGCAAATCCCACCGCAAAGTAGGAAATGCGATCGCAAAATGATCGCAAAAATCATGCTGAGAAACTGGGTGCACTGACTCAGTATGCATTGAGTTTATTAACTATGCGATTGCAAACTTGCCGCATTTTGTCATCTGCCTTAGCCAACCTAGGTTCCAATATGCGACAAAAATACGAACCGCATTTGGGTTTCGCGAGCCGCATAGTACATCGTCCCAATCAATTCAACCTAATCCTTAACAATGGCGGCCCTATTTCTTGATACCCAACACCCCAATTACATTTTCTACCCAGAATCGACCACAATATGTACAAACAACTACAAAAAACAACACAACCAAAAATGCAGAACAAAAATAAATAAAAACACAGAAGAGACAGACGTGAAATTGGAACTATAGAATTAGAGCAAGCATAGATACCAATGAAGATGAGTACAGGCCCTATGGAGATTACGAATGGGTATTAATCCTTTGTCAGACTCGATCATTAGTCATTTTTCCCCTTTTTCGGTTTGTGTTTGCCTCTTTTTTTTTTGGTTTTCTTCTGTTAGAAAAATATTTTTTTGTTTTGTTTTGAATGTGTGAGAGATGAGAGAATGCGACGACTTACCTAACCACTTTGAGGTTGGAAAGTCACTGCATAACGCACTATGCGACCGCATAAGTGTTATGCGGTGGATTCAATTAACTTGCTGAAGGGTGACAATGCGGTGCACAATGCGATCACATAGTTGAAATGCGGTCCGCAAAGTGCACCACCTTGTCGCATTCTGACCACCTATTTTAGCCAAACTCACTATTTTGGTTTGCGACCAAAATGAGGTCCGCATAGTGAAAATGCGACCGCATCTTTGCCGCAAATTTCACACAATGGTTTTTCTTCCCTTTCTTATGCATTCCTACCCAGTGTTATGATATTTTAAATCCCCTGCACTCTAACACACATTTTAAATTCATCCAGTAAATCTATCTATTGAAAATTAAAAACTTTAAAGAACAAAAAGGGTGTTACCACACATGGGTTGCCTCCCATGAAGTACTTGATTTAACGTCGCGGACCGATGAAGTTGGTGTTCCTTTGGATTCACTCAATGGTCGGGCACGGACCATCTTTGAGAGCCAGTTGCTCCACCAAATGTTTTTCTCCATATCTGCCAAAGTAGTGTTTGAATCATTGGCCATTTACTTTGAATGTCTGGAGCCCATCTTCCGATGCTAGTTCCACAGCTCCAAAAGGAGAGACAGTGACCACTTTTAATGGACCGGACCATTTTGATTTTAGCTTGCTCGAAAACAATTTGAGTTCACCCGACTTGAACTCTATTTTCAAGATCTTCTTGTCATGGACGAACTTCATCCTTTCTTTGTACACCGCTGCACTTTCATAAGCATGGAAACGGAATTCCTTAATTTCATTGAGTTGTGTTAATCTCAAATTTGCAGCTTCAGCCCAGTCCAAGTTCAACCTTTTTAACGCCCACATGGCCTTCTGCTCCAATTTCACGGATAGATGACAAGCTTTTCCGAAGACCAGCCGATAAGGAGAAGTACCAATAGGAGTCTTGTATGTCGTGCGGTACGCCCACAATGCATCATCTAGCTTCCTTGACCAGTCGGTGCTGTTTGCATTAACAGTCTTTGCTAGAATACTCTTGATCTCCTGGTTGAAAAGCTCAACTTGACCACTTGATTGTGGATGATAAGGTGTGGCTACCTTGTGCTTGACACCATATTTCTCAAGTAGCTCCGTGAAAGCCTTGTTATAGAAATGAGACCCACCATCACTAAGAATGGCTCTAGGAGTGCCAATCCGAGTGAAAATATTTTTCTTCAAGAATGTGGTCACACTGCTTGCCTCGTTGTTTGGTAAGGCAATTACTTCAACCCATTTGGACACATAGTCCACAGCCACCAAAATATATTTCATCCCGCAAGAACTTACAAAGGGCCCCATGAAATCAATTCCCCACACGTCGAAGATCTCTATCTCCATCACAAAGTGCATTGGCATTTCATACCTCTTGGAGATTGAACCTTGTCGTTGACATTTGTCACAAGCCTTGACCATTTGATGGCATCATGATAGATTGAAGTCCAATAGTAACCACATTCAAGAACCTTAGTCGCTGTTCGATTTCCTCCAGGATGACCCCCAACCGGTGAGTCGTGGCATGCCTTTAGAATTGGCATAATCTCTTCATCTGGAACACACCTTATGATAATATTGTGAGCACAAACACGGAACAAGAATGGCTGCTCCCAATAGTATTGCCGGTAGTCTCTCAAAAACTTCTTCTTTTGATAGGATTCCAATCCATCCGGGATAAGGTCACTAACTAGATAGTTAGCAACATTGGCATACCAAGGAGCAAAAGTTCTAGATATTGCCAATATGTGTTTATCCGGGAATGCATCGTTGATTTCAAGATCTCCTTTTGGTCTCTCTGCCTCCTCAAGCCTTGACAAATGATCCGCCACTTGATTTTGAGTTCCCTTGCGATTCTTGACTTCGAAGTCAAATTCTTACAACAGCAAGACCCATCGAATCAACCGAGGCTTTGCATCCTTCTTTGACATGAGGTAGCGAAGAGCTGCATGATCAGTGTACACTATCACCTTGGATCCCAACAAATAAGCCCGGAACTTCTCAAAGGCATAGACAATGGCAAGAAGTTCTTGCTCCGTTACCGTGTAATTAATTTGTGCCCCATTGAGTGTTTTGCTTGCATAGTAGACCGGGTGGAGAACTTTGTTGTGACGTTGGCCAAGCATTGCTCCAATAGCTACACCACTGGCGTCACACATGAGCTCCAAAGGAAGAGACCAATCGGGTGTGACAATAATAGTTATCGTGGTGAGCCTTTGCTTAAATTCCTCAAAGGCTTTGAGACATTTCTCATCAAACACAAACTTGGCATCCTTCTCAAGGAGTTTGCACATAGGGTTTGCAATTTTGGAAAAATCCTTGATGAAGCGCCTATAGAACCCAGCATGCCCCAAGAAACTTCAAACGCCTTTCACGGAAGTAGGTGGAGGAAGCTTAGAAATAATATCGATCTTTGCCCTATCGACCTCTATGCCATGCTTTGAAATTTTATGCCCCAACACAATGCCTTCGTCCACCATGATGTGACATTTCTCCCAATTGAGCACAAGGTTGGTCTTTTCACATCTCTTAAGCACTTGTCTAAGATTGTGAAGACAATTCTCAAAAGAATCACCAACTATCGAGAAGTCATCCATGAAGACTTCTAGAAAGTCCTCTACCATGTCGGAGAAAATGGACATCATGCATCTTTGAAATGCGGTCAGATCATTGCACAAACCAAATGTCATCCGGCTAAAGGCAAAAGTTCCATACGGGCAAGTGAAAGTCATTTTCTCTTGATCCTCCAAGGCTATGTTGATTTGGTTGTAGCCAAAATAGCCATCAAGGAAGCAATAAAATCACCTTCCCTCTAGCCGATCAACCATTTGATCAATAAAAGGCATAGGGAAATGGTCTTTGCATGTGGCACTGTTAAGCTTCCGATAATCCATGCATACCCTCCATCTGGTCACCGTTCTTGTTGGGATGAGCTCATTTTTCTCATTTTCGATCACGGTCATGCCTCCCTTTTTCGGCACACGTTGCACCGGGCTTACCCAAGAACTATCGGAAATGGGGTAGACTACCCCGTCATCCAACCACTTGATTATCTCCTTCTTTACCACATCTTGCATTGATGGGTTCAACCGTCGTTGATGTTCCACACTTGGTTTTTTCTCGCTCTCTAGTTGGATCTTGTATTTACAAATTCACGCGAGAATCCCACGGATGTCCGCAATTGTCCATCCAATGGCTTGCCTATGCTCCTTCAAGACTTCCAACAACCGTTCTACCTGCACATCATTCAACAAAGAAGAAACAATTACCGATAAAGTATCATTTGAGCCAAGAAATTTATACCTCAAGTGCGGTGCAAGTGGTTTGAGCTCTAGTTGTGGTAGCTCAATAATAGATGGCTTTGCGGGAGGTGTGGCTCTATTCTCCAAGTCGAGAGAGAGCTTTTCTGGCACATAAGTGTAAGAACCAAGCCCCTCCAATGCATTTACCGATTCCAATTATCCCTCCATATCCTCACCATCAAAGTTAACCAAGATAGCTACCAATGCTTCGCCGAGGAATTGTTCTTCCATTTTCATTTCAACTGCATCCTCTACTTCATCAACAACATCGATCACCAAGATGCTTTCATACTCATGCGGTAGTTTCATACCCTTGCTTTCTTGGAATGTAACCTCTTCATCATTCACACAAAATTTAATCTCATTCCGTTCTGAATCCATGAGTGCTCTTCCCGTGGCAAGTAATGGTCTCCCCAAGATGATAGGGATGTCTTTGTCAACTGCACAATCAAGGATTACGAAGTCGGCATGTAAATGAAATTTTCCCACCTTCACAAGTACATCATCAACAATTCCCACCGGGCGTTTGATGGAACGATCGACCATTTGCAATATCATACTTGTGGGCCTTGGCATGCATAATCCTACTTTCTTGTAAATGGAAAGAGGCATAAAGTTGATGCTCGCTCCATTATCACAAAGAGTTCTTGCAAAATCATGTACCCCGATGGTACAAGGAATGGTAAAAGCTCCCGGGTCCTCTTTCTTTTGAACGGGTGATGTTGCAATGATGGAAATAACCCAGTGTGTCACATTCACCACTTCATATTTGGTGGTTTTATTCTTGGTGATCAAATCTTTCAAATACTTAGCAAAACCCGGCATCTCTTGAAATGCTTCCACAAATGGGATATTCACCGATAATTGCTTGAGAATGTCGTAGAACTTCTTGAGTTTTCTATCATCAACCTTCCTAGCGAGTCTTTGAGGGAATGGAGGAGGAGGTCTAGGAATAGGTGGAAGAGTTTTTGGTGTCTCTTTTACCTTTTCCTTTACCGTTTCCCGATTCTCTTCTTGCACTTGCGCATTTTCTGAAATTTTCTCAATTTCGACAACACTTGGCTCTTCAACCCCAACCTCTTTCTCGAACTCTTCTTTCTCAACCACTTGTTCACCCTCTCCTTGTAGTACCTTCCCACTCCTATTAGTAATTACCATGACATGACAAGTTCGGCCACTCCCACTACCCTTTTGGTTCGCAATTGTGTCACTATGGAGTGTTCCCATTTGCTTTGGATTTTGCTCCCTAGAGGGGTCTCTCATTTGCATCTCCAATTTTTGAATCGATGCGGTATGAGAGCCAACAAGATCGTTCATGTTCCTCATAGAAGTGTCGGATTTTTCTTGATTTTGCAATACCCGTTCAAGCATACTTTCCAACTTAGACTCGCTTGAGGAACCTTGATTTGAATATTGACCCTTTGGGGGAACATAAGGGTTTGAACTCCGGTTTGAGAAGTTGTTATTATTGTTCCAATTTCCTTGGTTTGAGCCACCTTGGTCATTTCACCATTGTTGGTGGCCTTGCCTTTGTGGGTTTGGCCTCCATTGGTTTTGTTGTCCTTTACCTTGGTATTGTTGCCTTTGGTACCCTCCTAGAGAGTTGTTGACATAATTTGCTTCCTCAAAATCCTCATTGGATACGGGTTGCACATCCTCAACCACATTTACCTTCTTTGTTTGGCTCTCAGTGAACATCTTTGTCAATACATTAACATTTGTAGCAAGCCCTACAATCACTTGATCTCTCTCTTGGTTTTACTTGATCATGTTGCTCAAGGAAGGAGAACCATATGTAATTCCACCTGTAGTATCCTAAGAGTGCCATGCTTGATTATGCTTTGCCATTTTGTCAAGTATTTGTGTCACCCTTGCGAATGATTTGTCCATGAAGATCCGGCAGTTGCATTCTTGGCTATAAATTGGTTCATAGGATCCAAGCCCATGTAGAATTTCTCCAACAAAATAGAATCCCAAAAGCCATGGTTGGGAGACCTCACCAGATATAATTTGAAACGATCTCATGCCTCATGTAGATGTTCTCCCGGTACTTGCTTGAAAAAGAAAATTTTATCCCGGAGCTCCGACTTCTTACTTTGGGGAAACCATTTAGACAAGAAGGCTCGGACAAATTCGACCCAAGAATGAATGGAGTTTGGGGGCAGATTTTGGAGCAATTTCCATGCATCCCCAGCTAGAGAAAACTTTAAGCATCTCAACCTTTAGGCATCATCAAAGACATTATTTTGCTTATGCAGTACACACACACCCAAGAAGTTTCTAAGATGTTGTGTCTGATCATCTTCAGTGGAATTACTAAAAAACCGCTCCGCTTTGAGCATAAGGATTAAACCATGTTCCACCTTGAACGTTGTAGCGCCAATAGCCGGAGGTACAATAGCATTTGTATCCTCAATGTACTCCTGGATGTCCGCAAAAGGATTTTCTCCCATTTCTGCCTCTACGTCATCACCATACTCAGACATGTTTTCCTATCAACACCAAGCAAAACAAGCAAAGTGTGATATAATAGAATAAGACGTAAAGTAAAGCACACACTAATTAGTAATTTCAAAACCGTATTCCCCGGCAACAGCGCCAAAATTTGATACACTCAAATTACACTTTAATAAATAGTGTAAGGCGGTCGGTGTCAAATATAATAACCCAACAAGGTTGGGGTCGAATCCCACAGGGAATAGGTGTGAAAAGGTTACTCGATTACTGTGTTGCTCGACTAAAGTCATAGTCCTATCCAGTTAACGGTAACAAGAGTATGAATTAATGGTAAATAGAGTATGAGTTGAGTTTGATTTGAAGTAACAACTAGTTCAAACATTGAGAATGTAAATAATAAAGAAACCAATGTTGTGTTACCTTTAATGAAGTGCAATGATATCGGTGTTAATATGATATATTTATAATGGAAGGTCCTTTTGATATGCAAATGATGTCTAAATGTCTACCCAATATTTTCCAATAGTTGGGTAGTATTTCCTCTTTATGATTTTTTCCAAATATAAAAGAGTTGCAATTCAGAACAATCAATATATGCCAAATAAAACTCACTTATTCCTAAGAGATTCTATTAAACAAGGTTTAAAGCCTTGAGTCTTTGATATTTACTTCTACCAAATTCTAACCCACTTGCCCAAGCAAAGTAAGAATTTAGTGGCACTTGTTAATGTTTGCAACCACCAACAATAAATGAAGAATGAGAAGTAAATAAATATCAACCAATCATTATATATATATTCAATATTAAACACCCATTAACATAACACACATTTAGTGTCCACAACCTTAGTATTTAAAGTTAGCTACACAAGCTAAAATGCAAAAGGAATACACTATTTAATGCCATAAAGCTTACACAGTGAAAGATTCTTGACCCAAAAGCTTCCAAAAGAGAGGAATATTAATGCCTTGTATTGTAGCTTCAAAGTCAGACCAGATCAGCCCATAAAATCACAATAAATCTATTTATAGAGGGCCAAAAATCGAGACAGAAAACGGACAAAAAATGCCCTTTCAGGTCAAGTATGGGACCGCATTTTTGTCGCAAATCAGACATGCGGTCCGCATTCTCTTTATGCCCATCGCACTTCAAAACCCTAGTTTCCAGGTCGTCGTCGTGTTGTGGGTTTGCGGACCGCATTCTAGCTATGCGATCGCATTCTGCGTCGCATTTTCCTCCATCAGCAATTCTCCTGATGAGTTTGCAGTCCATTATATGGTCCGCAACTGTTATGCGATCGCATTCTGGACAGCATTTCTTGCACTAGATTTTGGCTAACTTTCTGTTTTGATTTGCGATCTTTTGCACCTTATGCGGCTCGCATGTAGGGTTTGTGATCGCATAATGCATCACATATCCACATTTTTGCTACATTTTACTCTTTTCTTGTTTTTTTGTGGCTTTTTGCTTTCATTTCCATGCTCTTGGGTCCTTAAACCTCATGTACTGCAAAAACACTAAAATTACATAAGTAAGGGAGGTAATTGTATTCAAAACAAGCTAAAATCTAAGCAATTAGTATTGAAATGTGCCAAAATTCTCCGGCAAGGGGCGAACTTCTATTTGGTTACTTTACCTTAACTATCTATCAATTACTTGTTTACTTGTTGAAAGAGGATTTTACTTGACTTTTTACTGGTTTACTATTTTTAAATGATTTTACTGCTTCATTATAGAATGCCTTGTGCCTTACGTGTTTTCTTTCTTTCAGTCGTTATTTACATTTGTTACTCACTCAGTTGGAGTACTCACTTTACTCCTTGCACCCTGTGTGCAGATTCAGGCATAGCTGGTCCCGCTCCCGAGTGCTGATTCATTTCAGCTTCAGGCGGATCTTTCAGGAGTCTTTAGGTAGCTGTTGGCGTTCACAGCCCGGAGCTCCTCCCTATCTCTTTCCTTTATGTCCTTAGTTCAGTATTTAAACTCTGTAGTTACATTTGAGGACTTAGTGTTGTTAGATGATTGTGACTTGTGATACCCCAGTTAGGGCTGTGTCGAGTTGTACTTTCGCACTTATTTGCTATTATTCGCTACTTAGTATCATTAAATCATGTTTTAGACTGTTTTTATGGTGTTTAACTGTTTGAAAAGTGAATTGGGTTAATTGGATGGCCTTGTCTTCACGAGAGGCGCCATCACGACTCGGTTCGGGGTTAGGTTCATGACATTGCTCTATCTAGATAAGGGAATTTAGCTGTCCTTATGTGCACTTCCTGAATAATAAGATGAAGTAAAGTAGTGTCTATCCTTCTCTTCTTCTGGAAAAGCACAGAGTTCCTCTCTTGCCAAAAATGTTAAACAACAGCTGCTAATGTCATTCTGCAAATTGTTGTCCTTGCACTCTTTGCTTTGGTCACCTTTGCCAGCTATGTAATCTCTTCCTGACATGCATGTTGTGTTCTTTGTATTTCTTGCCTTCTCAATAAACCATTCCAGATCTTCCCTGTTGCCTAACACTTGAAGAACATATGTTGCACTATCTCATTTTCCTTGTTGCACATGGAGCATGTTTGATCAGTAACTACACCTCATCTTTCCACTCTCTCTTTGGTTGCTAACCTCTGTTGAATTGCCAATCTCAAAATGAATATCCACTTGGGCTGCCCTTGGTTATTGCACACTAACTTCCTCCATGGTACTTTTTGAAATTCTCCTTGTAAGGATCTGTATATTTGCTTAATGGGACACTCCACCATCCTCTGTACATCTTCTTCATTCAATCCTGCCTTAGCAAAGTACTTCTTAGCCTGAAATATCTTTTGGATTTCCCAGGAAGCACCCTGAAAGTCTCTTTTTTCGTTAAAAAGTTTTGAATTAGAAAATCGAGTTTTGCGGCTTTATTATTTGTTTGGATTAGATATTTTTATAAATGATTGGGAATATCTTTTGGAGTTTATATCTCAAATTTAGGGGAGTTCGATGAAGATTCGAGTGGGTTTGGTTGGAATTTTATCAAGTTATCTATAAATTGTATGTGTTTGTTCAGTTTCTATACAATAAAAAGTTATATAAAACTGTATATAAGTTGTATGTTATATAGAAAAAAATCCTAACATCTATGTGGTTCAGCTAATTAAGTCTTGGGCAAGACAGATTTTCTATTTACTAATATGGGTGGAGCTAGAGTTTTGGTTACAGGTTCGTCCAAAAGCAATATCTTTGATTCAAACCTCATACTTTTCTTAAGCAATTCATGAAATATGTACAAATTATTAATTTAAAATAATAACTTTAAAAAATTAGAATTATGAACCCTTAAACTACAAATCTCGTCTCCACCTATTCTTATTGATATGTTATTTGCAAAAGGAGTAATGATGCGAAGTCTTTAACCAGAAACATCTCTAATTTTCAATTGAACACTAAACTGTTTTCTATCCTCGTTTTCTGCCAACAATCGAGAGGAGTTTTTCCTTTGGTGGATTCTCAGAAGAGTCTTGAATAATTACATTCTTTTTTTCGTTCCAAAACTCAAATATTGGTCCTAGGTCCAATTGAATTATCTTATTTCAACAAAATACATCCTTTCAGAATTTGCAAAAATGACTCAGTTAATTTATTTCGGGATTTTTTCCTTCCTATACAATATTTGAAAGTTATTTATAAAAATTGTCCTAGTTTTGTATATTACCCACCTTAAACAAGGATTATTTACAAATTATATACAATTCATTATTAGTGCCTTAAATTAGGGGATTTAGTTACATCCTTTTACTTTTTTCTCTCCTCTTCTCTTTCCTCACTCCCGCCTCTCTCATTAATTTTTCTTTCTTTCTTTATCACTCTCTCACATCGTCTT